TGGTAGAGGCTTAAATGGATTGCTGGAAAAGAAGCTTAAACAAGACTATTGTGTGCAGTGTATAATCAAACCTGGTGCCCCTTATGTGGATGTTATACATAACATGAAACAACTTGTTAAGGACTTTACTAAGTCTGACTGTGTAATTGTTTTGGCTGGATCCAATGAGTTTCAACAAGGTAAAATACCAAAAATTAGGGCTATTTGGGATAGAGTTAAATTTTGTACACAAACAAATATAATATTTTTAGGACACCCTGCTACTGACAAGTTCGTTATTGCCAAAAGAATTAATAGTTTTTTTCAAAAATTTTATTCTTTTGCCAAGAAGGTAAATCAGGTATCAGAAGGTAGATTTTTACTCCTCAACTGTCTGATTAAAGCAAAAAAAGGAAAGAAATTCGAAAATATAGCAGAACTGATAAAGTTAAATTTGAAGGAAAAAAAATGAAAAAAATTTGATCTTTGTACCCACAATAAGTAGAGAAGAATTCTTTAATGTTGTTAATAAAACACAACCGTCTACCAGGTCCACACCTAAGACTTCCAATTTAAATTTTTTAGAGTCAATCAGAGCAATAACGAATTCACCGTAGTTTTAATAAATATGCAGTCTATTAGAAGTAAGTTAGCTGAGTTGAATATTTTATTAGATGGTTTAAGCAACCCGACAATAGTATTATTATGTGAACACTGGTTGAAACCATATGAACGGTTAACCTTAGATAATTATGTACTTTTGGACATATTTTGTAGAAAAGCAGGGTACGGGGGTGTAAGTATTATGATTCACAAGGACTTTTATTCTCATTATTTATTTAAAACAGTTGACACTTTTGAAAATCACAAAGAAGAACGCCTATTTGAGTTGTGTGCTGTATATAGTAGTAGCATTAATGTTTATGTTTTGTGTATTTATCGTGCACCATCCAGCAATGTGTCTGATTTTTTGGCAAGGCTCGAATCTGTAATTTCCATTCTCCCTTCTAAATCAAAAATAATTGTTTGTGGTGACTTTAATTTGGATTCCTTGTCTATGGGGGATATTAGCACCATTTTCTTACACAACCTAATTAATTCTTACGGTTTACATCTGCATGTTGACAAACCTACACGTATAACATCCCATTTTTTCACATTAATAGATCATGTAATTTCAAATTTTGACCAAGGAGATGGTGTAGTTTTGCAATAAATAAAAAAGAGAGAAGGAAAGCAAAAAGGTGGGGTAGATTGTTCACAAGAAAAAATTATGATAGGTTCACGCAACTTGCTTCTTTGGAAAACTGGGGTGATGTGTTGAGCTCTGCAGATCCATTGTCAGGTTTCCACTCTGTTTTAGCTAAAATTTTTAATGCAAGTTTTGCTTTAAAACGTTTAAAACAAAAAAAAGTTGGATTACTAAAGGAATAAGAGTTTCAGCAAAAAATTTAAGATGTCTCCACTATATAAGAAAATTCAATATGTGTAATGAATTTTTTGTAAATTATTTCAATAAGTATAGATCAATATATCGTAGAACTATAAAGGCAGCTAAGCAATCTTATTATGTAAAGAGAATTGCGTCTTCCTGTAATAAGCAGAAGACAGCTTGGCAAATTGTAAATGAACTTCGAGGAGATAATAAGTGTCTTAAGGAATGTTTGGATTCCAAATTAAACGCTACTGATTTAAATAAGTTTTATTGCAATATAGCCAACCATTTATCAAGCTTAATAAAAAGTAATTTAAATTTTGAAAACTTTTTAAATCATGTAAATATAACTGAAACATTCTTTTTTGTACCCACCAATGAACACGAAATTAAGGAAACAATTTTGGAGCTGAAAGGTAACAAGGCGCCTGGGTGGGACGGCATTTCCTCTAAAATATTTAACAAACTTCCTGTGAATGCACTTAGGATTCTAGCAGAAGCTATGAACCTCTCTTTTATTACAGGTATTTTTCCCCACTGTTTGAAGATCGCTAATATTGTCCCATTATACAAGGGTGGAAATGAGGAAAGCCCCTCAAACTACAGACCAGTGGCATTGCTGCCAACTTTATCTAAGGTTGTGGAAAAAATAGTTAAAAGGCAAATCCTTAATTTTTTGAAGAAAAAAAATATCTTGACCACAGTGCAATTTGGCTTCCTAGAGAAAAGATCCACCAGTGATGCTATATTCAGTTTTCTGGAGGATCTTTACATGAGGATGAACGATCGACAGGTTGCAGCGGCAGTATTTTGTGACTTGACAAAAGCTTTCGATTGTGTGAGTCACAAACTGGAGATTTATGGATTTAGGGGTAAAGGACTAAGTTGGTTTCAATCATATTTGACCAATAGAGTCCAGTCTGTATCTTATAATGGGATAAGATCAAACCAACAGACTCTAAATAGTGGAGTGCCTCAGGGTTTGGTTCTGGGACCAATTTTCTTTTTAGTCTATATTAATGATATTGCAAACCTTAACATTTCTGGAAGCTTTACATTGTTTGCAGATGATGCAACAATTCTCTGGAGTGGTACAGATGAACATATTTTATTTGAAACCATTAACCACGACCTGTCCTTAATAAAGAACTGGTGTGATTCAAATAAGCTGTGTCTAAATATTTCCAAAACTAATATTATTTCTTTCAAATGTAACCTGGGACCAGTTTATTTGGAAAATCAGATATTAAGTGGCACACCCCAAAGTAAGTTCTTAGGTTTGCATATAGATGGTAGATTGAAGTTTGAATGCCACATTGCAAACCTAAATAAAAAATTGGCATCAAATTGTTATGCTTTAAAAATAATTTCAGGTGAATTAGACGAAAATATTACGAGACAAGTATATTTTGTATTAATAGAATCCCATCTACGTTATGGAATATGTTTTTGGGGTTCTTGTGCTAAACAGCTAATGCATACAGTATTCATTTTGCAAAAAAGAGCAATCAGATACATGAACAGGGCCAATTTGAGAGATTCATGCAAACCGCTTTTTGTTGCTACCATCTTTGTTTATTCTTGAAACAGTATCTCTAATTCATAAAAAGTATAGAAACACATTGAACCAACAAGGTTCGTCATCTTATGCCACCAGGCAAACGTATAAAATGTTGTTACCTGTTCCCAGAACCTCCCAAGTACATGACTCTATTGTTTTTAATGGACGTCAACTCTTCAACCATTTGCCTGTCAGTATTAGAGAGATTTATGAGGAAAGGAGATTTAGGAGGGAGGTAAAAAAGTTGCTCGTTGCGAGGGCCTATTATGATATACAAGAATATGTGTGTTTTTTTTTTTTTACTATGACGTTAAATTGTAAATGTACTGCTTTATTTTTAAATGTAAGATTTTATTAACTGTTTACTGTTTGTGTTTCAATTTTATAATTATGTAATTTATTGATTCATATAATATATTTAGACTACATAAACTAAATCATATAAGTACACTTTATTGTATTTTTGATTTTGTAGGTTCTGAATTTATTCATTTATTTTTTTTATTTTATTACGTACCTTTTTCAGCTTTGTTTACAACATTACTTTGTTTAAAACAATAAAGCATATTTTGATTTGATTTGATTTGAAATTAATGTTAGGATACCGACCAAGGGGAAAAGTACATTCATTTTTAACGCATGAAATAGCAAATGATAATAGAGTAAATTAGAATTAGAGAAACGGAGGAGTCAAGCGAAAGCTGGTATTTTGATCAAGATCAAGCAAAACAAAAAGAAATATATGATGCAAAGAGATTGAAGAACCGCAAATATGAAGTTGGACAAGACGAAATCTAGCATCAAATGAAGAGCAAAGTAGCAAGCTATTAGCAAAGTATGATGGACTTTACATTGTGACAGCTGATTTAGGCAGAGATCGATATGTGATAGAAGGTTTGCCCGGTTCAAAGAGATGCAAAGCCATTCAATATCAGACTGGATACTGATACAGAAGATTCCGAATCGGAGGATGTGGAAAACGTTTCCTATGGACAACGTATTCATATCTTCACAAGGAAACGACTCCCAAGAACAGAATGTTCATGTGTAGAAAACGTTTCTTTAAAGGAAAGATATTTCCAAGAATAACGTATAACGTTATATATAATATAAATAAACCAGAAGGCCACTTTCTGAGGAAAACGTTTCTTTCGAGGGAAAAGTTCCTTTTGAATCAAAAGTTGATTCAACAAATGAGAAGAAGATTTCTCCGAAGAAATACAATACAAAGAGCTGCATCTCACCAATAACATTTATAAATCATGAAGAACACGTTCTTCCAGCAGAAAACGTTTTTGATAAGTCCCAAATTTCCTTAAAATCAAATGTTAAAAAGCAAAATTATACAAATAAAGGAAGAACCCAAAAAGTCAAAGTGGTTAGGTTAGAGAGAAAAACGTTTTCTCTGTAAAAACAAAAGTTACCTATAAAAGTGAAAGAACAGATTTTCAAGAGCAATGCATGGGAGTTTGTAGCTTCAGCTTCAGAGCCAAGAGTGGCGGGTGATAGAAAAAAACGTATAACTGCATTACACTTCCAGCAATGTAGAAAATCGTTCAGTTGATTTGAGGCAGTTGCTTGATAATCTTTATCGTAGGACACAAGTTATTCGTTATAACTAATATTGTGTATTTGTTCTGATAGGTTGACGAGGATGTCAAGAAGGATAGCTGTGACCGACCTGAACCTCCACTGGAGTAAGCTGTTTTCTGTTATCAGAGAACTGTCATGAGTCAGTTGATGACGCAGAAGACAACGAGAGGAGGGCGGTGCTCATTGAATTTGAATTATTGTATTGTCACTTTTGAGTTAAGTTAATAAAAAAAGTGATTTTAATTCTGCTGAATTATTTGTTAGAAAGCAAAGTAAGACAATATTTTACATGATGATAAAAATAATGCCAGAAACTACTCAGTATCTGTTAATGGAAAAGCACTCATTTTGTCGTTGGTGGGATTTTTCAAGGAATTTTTTGTTTGTCGGTTTCACCACCTACTCTTGCAGAAATACACCAAATAACATCACCTGTTCGTTATTAATCATATGCACGCCCTGGTACATAATGTTCTTTGCGTATTCACCCAGAAAGTCCAGAATATGTTCCACTTGGGATTCATAAGGCAGTCCCTGTAACCTGACACAATCCTTCCTTGTCCCTGACATGATTACGTGCTGAGGCAGTAAAGGATAGTTGGGCATCGGCATAGGTGGCAACTGGGGCGTTGGTGGTGGTTCCATCATTATGGATCGGTTAAGCATCTACAATAATTACGTTGCAATTATAGAAAGGTTTATATTCATGTTTCAGAATAGTGACATACCTTCATTAGAACTTCGGCAGTCGTTGACCTGAACAACTCGATGTACCTAGAACCGATAACTTTCCGATGTTTCGCCAGAGCTTTTGGGGCGTCTGATTCGTCAGCAAACGAGACGAAAGCGTCACCGGTAGCTCGTCCGTCGGGCTTCTTGACGAACAACACTCCGTCCAAACCGTCCATGACTGTGCAGGCATTTTCACCAGAGGAGAAAAAGTCGAGCTAATAAAAATAATAACATAATTGGTTTTTTTTTCTTGAATTAATAAAGATAAAATCGAAAAAAATTTACAAGTTTGGTCAATTTATTCAGATTCTAATTACCTACCTACTGTGAGAAGACTTACAGTAAATTATCTATTACTTGTCAAGTTTTGGCATAGTAGGCTAGTATACTAATAAAATTGAGTTTCAAGATACTACGCATCACAAATTCTTACCACTTGTTGCGCACTGCAGTCATAGGGCAAGCCGCGCATGCGGACTATGACCGCCGCGCCTCTGCTGAGGAACGCCAGGGCTTCGCAGCTACTTCCACCAGCTACGGAAAGAAAATCTTCGCCTGTGGCTCGGTACACTTCGATGTATCTAGGGCCGATGTGGTGCTTGTGTCGCGATGCTCTTGCGACTCGAACCGCACCAGAGCTTCACCGTTACGCCTACCCAGACTCGATAGACAAAGGGCTACTCCACCCCTGAAAACGAACAAAAAATTGTAGAGATTATGCCATGAATTGGAGTTTCCTTTGTTGTATAGTAAAGAGCTCAAAAAAAAATACTCTGGTTTGAATGACAAATTAATTTTCAATTTATAACTATTCATATGAGCACTCAGTTTCAATGGTCAAGACAGTGGCGCACCCAGGGGGGGGGCCATCGGGCCAGGCCCCCCCCCCCCAGGCCGCTCCAGCAAAACTTAATTTTTACGTAGGTATAAAAAATGTGGCAAATTCAGGGCGGGGTACCCTGACAACTCTTTTTTTTTTTTAGATTTTCAGTCAAAAGCCACAACTTATGTAGGGTCCCCCACCCCCCAATCATATATTCTGGGTGTGCTACTGTTCCTGGGAAAAATTCAAAAATCAGACCATAATCTGTGTATTGTCAAAATATCACTATAAGTGTCTCTTAGGGATTCAAAAATCGTAGCTCCGCTATCTTTGGTTTTTTCCCAATCAAATTTTGGTATGTATGTTAAAGGTAAAAGGCTTCTGGATATATAAAAAAATTCTTCATTCTCCAAAGTTTCCCAGATTTCTAGGAAAAAAATCAAAAATCAGGCCAATAGTCTGTATTGTAAAAATATCAGTTAGTATCTCTTTGGAATTTAAAAATTCCTAACTCCGCTATAATGCTATCTTTGGTTTTTTTCTCAATCAAATTTAAGTAAATTAAAGCTGAAAGGCTTCTGGATATTTGAAAAAAATTCTTCATTTTCCAACGCTTCCTATATTTCCTCAGAAAAAATCAAAAATCAGGCCATAATCTGTATTGTGAAAATATTACTGTCTCTCTTATTAAAAAATCGTAACTCCGCTATCTTTGGTTTTTTTTCTATCAAATTTTAGTATGTTAGAGCTAAAAAGCTTCTGGATATTTTTAAAAAAATTTCATTCTTCCCTCCATTCAATCCCGAATTTCCAGATTTTTTTTTTTTTTAAATTCAGGCCATAGTCTGTAGGCAAAAAAACACTCAGTCTTTCTTTTGGATTGAAAAAATTGTAACTCCATTATCTTTGATTGTTTTCCAATAAAATTTGGGTATTTTTGAACTTAAAGGCGTCTAGGTTTCAGAAAACCTCGTGGGTGCTGATGTTCATGCACCGGCATTTATGAGGGAGGGGGGGGGGGAGGTGAACAGTCCGCTGGTGGCGAAAAAACTTCTCCAGAAGCCACGCCCAAAAACGTTTACCAGCATTCTCTAATTTACATTCGGACGAGTGTCTAAGAAGGAAATGGTAAATACATTTCAAACAACGTAGTTCACACCTTTCCATATTCGTTTTCCAGCTGCGGGAACTAGTGTTGCTTGGTGCTTGCGTAAGTTTTTTGCAGTGTCTGCTAAAATTGGAAAAAAAGGACGTCTATAAGGGTAAAGAGTAGAGTATTTTCACAGCTATCAGAACAATACCCGAAGAATATTGTGGTTATGTTATTGTAAACAAGTCAAAATTATTCTTGAATTTAAAATCTTTAATCATCCAACAAATTATAAGAAATTAATTAAATTATCCAATAAAACGGAAATCTAGACGCATACGATCAATCAAAGAATATTATAGACTAACGTCTCTAGAAGAGCCGTCCGGCGGCGAAAATATAAACCCGCGTGATGGCGCTGGTGTCCTAGTAAAATCAGTCGTTTCTGCGATTAAATTAATTTGAAGCACTAAATGCACGCGTATTTGCTAGGCTGCGTTGCCAAGTTGTCTTTTGTATAACAAATTAAATGCCTGTGTTTTATATAGGTACTTTTTATACATATACCTACCATAGAATAAAAATATTTTATAATTTAAAAAAAATAATAAATAGGTAAATAGTTATGTATTTTTGTGGGCAGTAATTTTCTGTTACTAATAAATAGAGGAATAAAACACAAAAATTGTTTCTGTCTGTGTGTCTACATATGTCCGTTATAGACTTTGAAACTATCCAATCGATGTGCTTCAAACCAGTTTAATGTTTAATATGAAAGGCAATAATAATAAGAAGGTTTTAGACCACTAATGACAGGTGTCAACTGTCAAATTGAGACAGTTGCAGATTGAACCATATCTTCACAACGGATTTTGCTGAAATTTAGCATACACTTCAAGTTCAGGTGATTAGATGATAATACATTTTAGATCACTAATGTGACAGGTGCAGATTTTTGAACCATTATTTCGCAACGAATTTTGCTAAAATTTTGCATACATTTTATGTTCGGGTGATAATACATTTTAAACCACTAATGACAGGTATCAATTGTCAAATGTGAAAGATGCGGATTTGTGAACCATTTCTTCGCAATACATTTTGCTGAAATTTTCCATACAGTTAAAGTTCGGATAATAATACAATTTGGAATATTCAACAGCTGTCAAATGTAATTTTTGACAGCTGTCAAAATATGACGGGTCGAGAGGTGGGCAGGTTGTCAGGACTACCGTTTCATCTAATTTTAGACAATTTTGCACACTCTTCTGAGAAAAGTTATGAGGTGTGATAAATGTGCACTTTTTTCCCCGTTTATCTGAAACTTGAAAAATTCTTTTCCTACGAGCGTGCGCAAAGAAGTATTTTTTCGCACGCATTTCCGTTCTCTAAGTTACACTTTTCCGCAATCAGTGCGGATAAGGCCTGTATCCGCACTGAGTGCGGAAAAGTAAAAATAATTGTCAAGCAACAATAAGTGCACCTGTCGACTTTGACACATGATGACAAATTTTTCCTCTGTTTCTATATCAGCCAACATAGGCCAGTAAAACTAGGGGTCAAACCCGAAACAAATTTGGGACAAGCTGAAACTTTCAGGAAACCTTTTTTAGGTGGTCGACAATGTTTCCTTAAAAATCGCACTAAATCGCATGTGCCGTACTCGCCCAATCGGGCTTTAAACTCAAAAAATTGTGCTTTTTTTATTTCTTTGGAAATATATCAAAAACTATGAACTTTTTTGAAAAATTACAAGACAGCAAAATTGTTGCCAATAAAAATACCTACAAAATCATTTTTTGTTTTTGAAAATCGGTCCAAAAACAAGAAAGTTATGAGCTTATAAAAATTAGGCGAATTGGGCTTCGATTCTATTAAACTGCTTTTGGCAAATTCGACTTTATTAACGCTGACGCAAATTAATTGAATGTTTTTCATAAAGGAAATATGGTATGTATTTGTCATATAAAACCAGTGTGTAAAATTGTATATAAATCACTAGGTATGATTTAATATTTTAGGTAATGGGCTGAACGCAAAAATAACTAAATAATACTTTTGCCAAAATGTGCTGCTACTTACTTGAAAAAAAAAAAAAATTATAACTTTGGACCTGTCAAAAAATAACATTTGAAAAAAAAATTATATTGGACCTGTCAAAAAAAAAATGACACAAAAAAAAATTATAGGTGTCATTGAACCTGTCAAAAAAAAAAATTCATTTGAATTTTTTTATAGGATTGGACCTGTCAAAAAATGACGTTTGAAAAAAAATATTTTTTTTTAAGTTTGAACCTGTCAAAAAATGACATTTAAAAAAAAAAAAATAATATCATTGTACCTGTCAAAAAAAAAGACATTTGAAAAAAAAAAATTCATATTATTGGACCTATCAAAAAAAAAGGACACTTGAAAAAAAAAAAAAAAAAAAAAATTATAGGTGTCATTGGATCTGTCAAAAAAAAAAAAGACATTTGAAAAAAATATTTTTTTTTATAAGATTGGACCTGTCAAAAATTGACATTTAAAAAAAAATCATATTGGACCTGTCAAAAAAAAAATGACACTTAGAAAAGAAAAAAAAATTCATTTGAATTTTTTTATTTTTTTTATGTCAAAAAATGACGTTTGAAAAAAATTTTTTTTTTTAAGTTTGAACCTGTCAAAAAATGACATTTAAAAAAAAAAAATTCATATCATTGTACCTGTCAAAAAAAAATACATTTGAAAAAAAAAAAAAAAAATTCATATTATTGGACCTATCAAAAAAAAAGGACACACTTGAAAAAAAAAAAAAAAAAAATTATAGGTGTCATTGGATCTGTCAAAAAAAAAAAAGACATTTGAAAAAAAAATTTTTTTTTATAAAATTGGACCTGTCAAAAAATGACGTTTAAAAAAAAATTTCATAAATTTGGACTGGTCAAAAAATGACATTTGAAAAAAAAAAAAAAAATCATATTATGTATTGGACCTGTGAAAAAAAAATGACGCTTGAAAAAAAAAAAAAAAAATAATTTATAGGTGTCATTAAACCTGTAATTTGGATTTTTTTTTTTTTTATAGGATTGGACCTGTCAAAAAATGACGTTTAAAAAAAAAAAAATTTTTTTTATAACTTTGGACCTGTGAAAAAAATGACGTTTGAAAAAAAAAAAAACTTTTTCATATTATTGGACCTGTCAAAAAAAAATGATACTTGAAAAACAAATAAAAAAATAATTTATAGGTGTCATCGGACCTGTAATTTGAAAAATGTTTTTTTTATAGGATTGGACCTGTCAAAAAATGACGTTTGAAAAAAAAAATCATATTGGACCTGTCAAAAAAAAAATGACACTTAGAAAAGAAAAAAAAAAATTCATTTGAATTTTTTTATTTTTTTTATAGGATTGGACCTGTCAAAAAATGACGTTAAAAAAAAAATATTTTTTTTTTCATAAGTTTGGACCAGTCAAAAAATGACATTTGAAAAAAAAAAAAATTTCATAATATGTATTGGACCTGTCAAAAAAAAAATGACACTTGAAAAAAAAAAATAATTTATAGGTGTCATTAAACCCATAATTTGGATTTTTTTTTTTTTTATAGGATTGGACCTGTCAAAAAATGACGTTTGAAAAAAAAAAAATCATATTGGACCTGTCAAAAAAAAAATGACATTTAGCAAAGAAAAAAAAAATTCAAAAGAATGACGTTTGAAAAAAAATATTTTTTTTTAAATTTGGACCTGTCAAAAAATGACATTTAAAAAAAAAAAATTCATATCATTGTACCTGTCGAAAAAAAAAGACATTTGAAAAAAGAAAAAAAAAAAAATCATATTATTGTACCTGTCAAAAAAAAATGACATTTGAAAAAAAAAAAAATTAATAGGATTGGACCTGTCAAAAAATGACGTTTGAAAAAAAAAAAAAAAATCTATAAATTTGGACCTGTCAAAAAATGACATTTGAAAAAAAAAATTCATATCATTGTACCTGTCAAAAAAAAAGACAAAAATTTTTTTTGTTCATACTGTATTATAAAAAAATGACACACTTGAAAAAAAAAAACAAAAAAAATATAGGTGTCTTTGGACCTGCCAAAAAAAAATAATACATTTGAAAAAAAAATTTTTTTTATAGGATTGGACCTGTCAAAAAATGACGTTTAAAAAAAATATATTTTTTTTTATAAGTTTGGACCTGTCAAAAAATTACGTTTAAAAAAACATTTTTTTTCATATTATAGGACCTGCCAAAAAATGAAGTTTGAAAAAAAAAAAATCATATTATTGAACCTGTCAAAAAAAAATGACATACTTAAAAAAAAAAAAAAAAAATTATAGGTGTCATTGGACCTGTCAAAAAAAAAATAGTTTTCGAAATTTTTTAATTCCTGTCATTTCTCAGATAATTCTTGTTATTTTCTAATTCCCCCTTATTTTTTTCAATTTTTGGAAAATTTGGTAATTTTCGTTATTCCCGCAATTTTTCGCGCTTTTTCCAGTAATTATTTATATTTTCAATTTTTTAATTTTCAATTTTCCTAATTTCCAAAAAAAATCGGAATTTTCTAATTCTCTCTAAGTTATTGTAATTTTCGTAATTTCAAAAACTTGTGATTTTCGTTATTTTGGGAATTACCGTAATTCACGTAATTTTGAAATGACTTTGTAATTCTGTTCCGCAATATTTCGTAATACCTACTTACAACCCGTAATTTTTGTAATTTTCGTAGTTTTTTGTATTTTTTTCAATTCCCGTAATTTTCATAATTTCTCATAATTCCCGCAAATTTTCGTCATTTCCGTCATTTTACTAGGTTCCGTAAGTTTTTATAATTCCCATTATTTTTCGTAATTTTGGATAATTTTGGAGTAACTTCGTAATTCTTTTGCGTAATATTTGGCAATTCCCATAATTTTTGTAATTTCCGCAATTTTTTGTTATTCCGTGATTCTCGTAATGTTCTGTAATTCTCGTAAATGTTTGCAATTCTCTCTAATTTTTCATATTTTACGTACTTTAACGTAATTCCCGTAATTTTTCAAAAATTATCATTATTTTCGTGATTTTGAAATGAGGAAAAATGAGGATAAAATCGTGGAAAGTGATGATAAAATCACAAAAAAAAGAGTCAAAAATCGCAAGAAAAATATGAGTCAAAAATTTCAAAAAGAGTGAATTTAAACTCGCGGAAAAGTAAGATGAGACTCACGGAAAAATGAGGATAAAGTCACGAAAAGTAAGGATAAAATCGCGGAGAATGAAATATGAATCGCGGAAAAGTGAGGATAACATCGCAAAAAAAAGTGAGACAAGAATCGCGGAAAAATGAGATTATATTTACAGAAAAGTCGATTTACAATCGTGAAAAAGTGGATTTAGAATTGCGGTAAGTGATGGTAAAATTGCAAAAAAAATGAGTCAAAAATAAAAAAAAAAATATTTTTCAAAAATCACAAAAAAGTGAGGTCAAATTAGCGGAAAAGTGGAGATAAAATCGCGGAAAGTAGGGGAACAATCGCGGAAAAATGAGGATGAAATAGCGGAAAAATAAGTTTGTAATCGCCGAGGAGTGAGAGCCAAAAATCGCAAAAAAGTGAAAACAAAATTGCAAAAAAGTGGGTCAAAAATCACAAAAAAAATGAGTCAAAAATTTCAAAAAAAGTGAGTGTGAATTTGTGAAAAAGTGAGATAAGAATCGCGAAAAAATGAGGTAATATTTGCGGAAAAGTGGGTTTACAATCGCGGAAAAGTGATAGTAAAATCTAAGATTTCTAAATTATGACGTCATCAAATTGGATTTTTCAATGAATAATAAATTGGAAGCATCTTTCCTACATAAAATTATTGAATTTGACATTTATCAAAAGATCCAAACAACCAGCACCTTGTTTTACAGGTAATGAAATGTCTTGTCAGTTTCTTGAAAGTATGTCGTGGTCAGTAATTATTTTTGCTAGAAATGCAACAAAATACAGAAGAAAAATACAAACATTTTTGATGTTCGCTTTCAAAATTTGATGTTTCATTTTTAACACTAGTGCTATAAAGACTTTATGGCACTAGTGCGATAAAGTAACATTTTTAATGCTACGGGGGGTGTTAAAAATTGCATTTTTGACACGTTTGTAGAAAAAGTTTTTTTTTTTTTAAAGATAAAAGTCAAAATGACATTAAGTTGGCAATGCAATGTAAAATTGTCAATGCTTTCAAATTTTTTATGTAGAAAAGGCTTGTGTTGCCAACATAGTTATTGAATTTTTGACTTGGGGAATTATTTAAAAAATAAAAACATACTTTAACTTTCCCCAGAAAAGTGTGCAAAATTTAATTCCTTTTGGCACGCGTCTGTCTCCCTATGCACGCAAAGCAAATATTTCACTTTAATAACTTCATTCAGAGAAGCAGATACGGATGCTGGCTCGCTGGCTGGACGCTGAATCAACAGCACTGACAACTCGGCAACAGTGGGCAATAGACTCGAGCCAGCGTCCACACCGGCAAAAGCCGGCGTCCATCGAGGTATCAAAAATCAGAATACGGACGAGACTTCTAGAGACGTTAGTCTATAATACTCTTTGGTTTATTTATTTATTTATTTATTTATTTACGGGCACGACCCATTAAAAGTTTCAAAAGAAAAAAAAAACAACAAGAAACATTAAGTAGGTACCTTACAACTAAATAAACATAGGCCAGTAATACTTGGCGTAGTAACAGGATAAAAATACATATAAATTATTAACAGTAAAACATTAAATCAGTTATAGGTATAAGAAAATAGAGGACAAACATAAATAATGACTGATCAAGATGACTAGAAATTCTTAGCTATCGAACTTGGCATCACAAACAAACGAGGAGAATTACATTAGAGAGTTAAGCTCTCTTTTGAAGCTATTTATGGGTCCAAAAAAATCCAGGCTACCATGGGTGTTACATAATCGAGAAGTTCTGGAGATGAATGTATTGAAACCATAGTTTGTACGGTGATTTCTTTCTGAGAAGGTTATGGCAGAGCGGGTGTCCCTTGCTGGGACGTGAAGCCCTATTCTGGACAGTAGGTATGCGGAATCACTAATGGAGTTTAGTATCTTGTAAAAAGTATATAAATCTCTTTGATTGCGTCTAGCTGCCAAGGGTTGTAGATTGAAGCGTCTGTATAGGTCGTCATAGTCATATACATAGTTCTCAGGCGAAGGAATACCTGCCTTGAAGGCTAAATAACGTACGAATTTGCGCTGCACTAGCTCTAGGGCTCTGATATTATTAGAATACATTGGTGACCAGACAGAGGAGCAGTACTCCATCAGGGGCCTCACCATTGAGCAATAAAGGTATCTGATAGAATCTATGCTTGTAAAATCTCTCGAACACCTCTTAATGAAGCCTACAAGTTTTAACGACCTTGTTGTGATGTCTGAAATATGGGTGATAAAATTGAGACTGCTGTCAAAAATGACACCAAGATCTCGTTGTTGTGAGACAGTTTCAAGCGGAATGTTGTTTATATTCTTAAAGGTTTCTGGGATCCCTTGAACATGCTAGAGAAAATTGGGTTAGAGTATGGTATGACTGAGAGAATGCAATAACATATTGTATCAGTATAATGCGAATCTGCCTTATTCTTGAAGTTATAGATGTGTTAATCAAGAGAGCAAAAAATGAAAAAAGTTAGCACGTAATCAGAAACAAACATGCACATAGGTACAGTTCGATTTTGAAACAAAAAATGTGATTGCGAATTTTATATGAGACAATGGAGAATATTTATACTTGGTGATGTAAACTCCCTTTCAGAGAATATTTTCAAATAACTTACTTGGCAACATTAAGTCCTCTAAAAAATTTGGCAATGTCTTGGTCGCTACTTTGCCAAGGAAGTCCTCTCGCTCTAACTACACAATTGGGGTCGATCTCATCGTCTTTTGATCTGAAAGAAAAATTAAAGTGTTCAATTTTATTCTGCATAATATGACTCTTCAATAAATTGACTTTAAGCGAATTGAACTAACTAACATACATAATCAACGTTACAGCGATAAAAAGTTTTTTCTACAAACGTATTAAAAATGCAATTTTTAACACCCCCTCGTAGCATTAAAAATGTTACTTTATCGCACTAGTGCCATAAAGTCTTTATAGCACTTGTGTTAAAAATTGAACATCAAATTTTGAGAGCAAACGTCAAAAAAAGTTTGTATTTTTAGTTATTTACATTCATCTATATTTTTCAAGGGATTCATGTTCAAAGGATTTCTTGTTGTTATATGATTTTGGGCAAAGTTCACAAGTAAACTTTTTTTCGGGTAAGTAAGTGGAGCTAACTCTCCAATTTCATTAGGATGACTTTGCTTGATATGTCTCCTAAAAATATTTCAAATAAATAAAAGATTTTTGGCACTCAAAATTGGCCATATCCGCATGTACCTATGTAGGTAATCCTTATTAATTATATAATAAATTAATCGTTAAAATACAAAATTCAAAATACATACCGACCGGCAATGTAAACAAATAACAACATAACATAACCTCTAAAATGTAACGTCAAAGCGCTTTGTTCTTATTGGTCGGTACTGAATTGCCTGTACCAGAATTTAAACGCTATTGGCGTATTCGACTACCGGCACTAGTGCGCACTCGGCTCGCATTTTGCGAGTGCAGTGCAATACTATATGTTCGGGTTGATTCAACTCATAAGCGAGCAAACATTTCTCGTGTTCGACTACTTTAGCTAAGCGCGGGCAGAGCAATACCTTATGTTCGGGTTGTTAGCGTGGTTCGTCCAGCGTTCGAACTTTTTGGAACTGTAATTTTTGGCGGTTCTTCAATGAACTAGAGTAGGGTGACCATACGTACAGCATTTCGCTGTATTGTACAGCATTTTCAAAGTCTGTCCAGCATTTAATTTTGTACAGCAAACGTACAGCGATTCGGATCCCATCATAATTAAGTTTTTCTTTAAAAAAAATTACGAAAAATTGTCCGTCAATAACTAACGACATTTCTACATTTGCGAATTACGTCATTTACGCCATCATTTCCCAGAGTATTCTTTTCAATGCTAACTACAGTGGCTAAATAAACCTTTACATACAGTGGCGACGATAGAGGTCCCGCCGCCATCTTGTCCCAACCTCTTGTTACTTTTAAATATTAAATATATAGAATTTAAATGGACATCTATCATAAAAAATTGTTATCGACGTATTTGATGACCATTATAAAGTCCATCAAATACGTCGTTTTCCATGATTTATGATGGATGTTCACCTAAATTCCATATATTCATATTTAAAAGTAACAAGAGGTTGGGAACAAGATGGCGGCGTTTTCAATATAAATATATGGGATATTAGAACCAATCAAAAATAAGACAATTGTCGCCAATGTGGTAATAGAGTCACTGTAATGCTAACTACCTTTTTTATCTCTCTCTCTATTCCACGCTATTAAGAGAAAGACACAGCATAATAGGTATGTTTCTGCAACAATCACAAACCAGTCAGCACGAATTTCATTGGTTGAAAATAGTCAGCAAGTCAGAAACAGTCAGAAAACTAATTTCAACCAGAGGTTTGTAAAGTTAATAGGTTGTCTGGTAATGGTAAACAGATGACGTCATCAGAGGGGGGATTCTCATCCTCTAGTCACAACTTATCTTCCCGACTCACTGTAGAAAGGCAATGGGATAACTGGGATAGTCGAGACGATAGATTGCCACTAGAGGATGAGAATCCCCCATCAGGAAGATCTAATGGAGATTTGCATTATTTAAGGCATCCAGATGACGTCTTAGAAGTTATCAGTCAACCTACTTCTTTCAAACAACCTTGGTTTCAAACATTAAGGTTTTCAACCAATGAAATTCACTCTGACTGGTTTGTGATTTTTATGCGAACAGACCTATTATGTTATATCTTTCTTTTTTTTTTTTTTTTTGTTAAGTGGTACTAAAACGGGATATAAAGTCGACAAAAGGACCCCGCAATATTTAAATGGGAATTGGTTACCCGTGATATTTGGATGAAATTTAAATATGTTATTGAGGATGCCGTAAGAAACATTTTTTACCATGGGCACAACCCTGTATATATGACAGGTGAGGCGTGGTTAGCTGTCAAATATTGGAATCTTATATCCAAAAGCAGAGTAACTATGGCAGATTTTGATGAACAAAAAATCTATTTCTACTAAGTCGACCAAGTTAAGTCGAAAAATGTCAACCATTTTGAACCTGCCAAAAACGGCGGCAGTCATCTTTCCCAGTTTTCAATATTTCATGATGTCATTTGACACTTTTAACGTGTATGTAAATTCTGAATTCAAAAAATGAAAAAAAAAATGACAGAACTGTCAAAACCTGTCATTTGTTTTAGTAGAAAAAATACTCTAATCTGATTCTTTTTTGTTTCAAGGTAGTTTATTGGTGATAAAACATTAAACAAAGTTCATGCATGTCACATTTTGACAACTGTCAGAATCTGTTTTTGCTTTTTGGTTCATATTGAGTTTGTTTACTTAGTGAAGTTCTACAACTATAATGATAGAATAATACAATAATACAATAGAACTAAACCTTCACTAAGCGAACAAACTCAATATGAACCAAAAATCTATTAACAGATTCTGACAGTTGTCAAAATGTGACATGCATGAATTTTGTTTAATGTTTTATCACCGCTAAACTACCTTGAAACAAAAAAGAACCAGATTAGAGTATTTTTTTTCTACTAAAACAAATGACAGGTTTTGACAGTTCTGTCATTTTTTTTTTTTTTCAATTTTCGAAAGGTACAAGTTGAAAATATCAAATGACATCATAAAATATTGAAAACGGGAAAAGATGCTGCCGTTTGGCAGGGTTTTGACAGGTGTCAAAATGGTTGACATTTTTCGACTTGACTTGGTCGACTTAGTAGACATCGATACTTCGATCATCAAAATCTGCCATAGTCACTCTTCTTTTGGATATAAGATTCCAATATTTGACAGCTAACCACGCCTCACCTGTCATATATACAGGGTTGTGCCCATAGTAAAAAATGTTGCTTACGACATCCCCAATGACATATTTAAATTTCATCCAAATATCACGGGTAACCAATTTTCATTTAAATATTGCGGGGTCCTTTGCATCTAGTGCTTTCTCATCCACTCACCTTAGGGTTGACAAACTATCGAAAAAAAAACTATCGATAGTGATATCGATAGAATGGCTTACCTATCGATAGTAACTATCGATTGTACTATCGATAGTTTGCTCTGATCAAAGTAACCAGGGCCGAGATTCTAAAATCACGATTCGACACACGACTCGACGATACCAGCCTTGTCGTGTCGAAAGGTATAATTCCAATGAGATTTCTAACCTAGAATCGTCGGAAAAATCGTCTCGTTGTCGACTCGTATGTCGAATCGTGATTTTAGAATCCCCGGCCAAATTTCTAATTAATTACGAAATAAATTTATCAAATGACAACAATAACATCAGAAACTTAAATAACCATTAGCCTCCAACCCCCATCAAGTCCATGAAGGTCACTCGTCACTCCTGTTAACCTAAAAATTGAAAATTGGCAGCACAGCATGTCTGTACCCCCAAAAAATAATTACAAATTTCTCAAAACAACTACAGATTTCTTTATATTAACTCGCTATTGAGAAACCGGCCCTCAAGAGTTTGGCACACTCGAGCTACTTGCTCCGGTGTTATGGCGATTTCCATTTGTCAATCAGTGCGCACTGAGTGTATCCGCATCTTTTTCTAAAAGCATGTAACATGTAAGGATAAGGATAAGGATACATTTTTTTTGCACCGACCAATGGAAAACGCTATTAGTCGACCCCGATTTGAAAGGAAGAAATACGTCGTGCAACAAACACTTTTTGAAAGGAATAAGCACATAACGCCTCGGAGCTGTTTTGGAGCTTCTCCTAGGTGTGAAAGTAATACAACTATTGCAACTGGACACGCTTACCCTGGAGTTAAAACCAACCCGGAGGTGACTCGCTATTGAGAACCCGGCCCTTTGGAACTATCGATAGTGGTACAGGTCTATCGATATTATCGAAAATGAAAAAAAAATCGATAGTATCGATATTCCTATCGATAGTTTGTTATCCCTGACTCACCTGTTCCAAAATTTTAGATGTGTACAGCATTCATACGAAAAAAATATGGTCACCCTAAACTAGAGCTAAAAACTGGAATGCGCACACATTGCCATATCTGCCAAAAAAATGAAGCCATGAAAGACAGATGCCACAAGGGGGAATGTTGTTTTTTTCTGTTGCTCGCTGATATAATAATATGACGTTTTGGAAAGTTTTGTCATATTTACCTTCACAGGTTTCATCAATTGGAATACGTATTGGAAGCAATTTCTGCCATGCGACAAAAACAGGTATCCCCTCCGCAGCAGCCGCACTAGGCTTCAAGTTCGTCCTTGGGGCGGATTACGAACTCTCGATTCGAACCGAAACCGCCATGGATTTCGAACGCACTCCATGTGAATGCATAGGAATGCGTTCGAAATCTACGGCGGTTTCGGTTCGAATCGAGTGTTCGTAATCCGCCCCCTCTCTTATGTGTTAGCATTCCAGTTTTTGGTTATAGTTCATTGGGTAAAACAAAGATATATTTACAGTGGTTTTTTAGGTTTTTAGTTAGATTTTTTTAATTAAATACCCTTTAATCCTTTTCACGTGGCTCCGGTTTAACAAACCGCAACATACCGCTCAAATTCGAGTGGTAGGTATCCATCACGTAATTTTGTAACCGGGTTAGAAAACGGTATGTCATTTCTCTAACCGTTTTGTAACCCGGTTAGTTAAACCGGAGCCACGTGAAAAAAACTTTTGTGTGGTCCAGAAGTTTCTTGGACATGCCTAGAGTTTGTTTAGTTGTTAATTGTGGCAAGGGATACAATATCCTTCCATAGGTTTCCATCAATTTTAAAAAATGTGAGGTTTGACTTGTTAGCTCAAGAAAGAAGAGAAAAATTGATTAATGTTGTTAAAAGAGAAGATCTGACAGAAAAATACATTGAATTATAGGGCGCGTTTGGGTTGATGCTCGGTGCACTCAGAGCTTGCACTTTTGTCTCTCTTCCGTTATTTTTGACGCTCCGACAACGCTTGATTATTGTGTTTGGTTTGACATATTTTGAGCTCTCAGAGCGAGCTCGATAAACTCCGAGTTTGTGGAGTGGGCAGCTGGAGCGTGCATGCGCAGTTTAATTTGTTTGTATAACCTAACCTATTTTCCATGATAAAATAAATATAAATAAACAATCCTGAATTTTAACATATATACTTGTTAGGTAGATAGAATTTTGGTTAACAATCAAATAGCTAGTAAATTCTGCAAAATTTTTTACTTTTAATTGAATTTTCTCAATAGTCCTCATCACTGGTATTATTTATTGAACATATTTTTCCAACGGAACTTGGCAGCCTCAGAGTGTTTAGGTCCGTTTTATTGTTTATGTAGCACGACATTTTTTGCAGAATACAAAAGAAAATGGGACTGTTTGAAAATTATCGACTAAAATAATGCAAAACAAACGAGAAAATTCTGCTGCAAATGCGGAATGCGGGCTCGGACTCCAAGAAATATATGCCAAGAAAAATAAACAATAATCAGCTGATCGCTCAACCCAGCATTTTTGCACATGTTTATTTGGCTTGACACGGTGTACTCCCTGTGACGTCACGTTACTCCGTAATCGCTCTGCTCGCTCCGCCGAGCGTCAACCCAAACTCGCTCATAGAGTAACTATACTTAAGGCGATTTTCAGCCTGGAATGATTATTTATCGGTAAATACCGTGGTTATTCTTTTGGTTGACAACTTTGAGAGCCAAGTGTGACGTCATAGCCCCCCACCATTGAAGAATCATAACCCAAGGGCCGTGGAAAAACGACAACAACATAAACAAACCCCCAGAAAATTTCAATTAATAATTATTAATTTCTATAATAAATAAAAACGACAATGAGTAGTGCAGAATTTGAGAAAAACAATTATCCAAAAGCATCAAGTAATTTAGGAAATTATTAATTTAAACATTATTTCCCATTTTCTTATTTTTTTTTGCAGAATATCTGGTCAATGGAGCCTTCCTCACCTACATTGCAGGCCTATTTCTAATGATATCATTTTGCAGGTAACTACCTTTATAAAAAAAACCCTATATCCAATTATTATTGTTATTATTTCACAGTCCTTACTGGGTAAAATCCTACACCGAAACCTTTTCCGACTTCAAAAACATGGGCCTGTGGGAGTACTGTTTCCACAACTTCCGGTACCCCTATTACCAGTTTGACCACCCCTTTGACGGCTGCCATCACGTTTTCAGCAAGGAATACTTTGTTATAAGGGAGTGGCTTTTGCCCCCTTGGCTAATGACCGTACAGGCCTTTGTAACTATGTCGTTTTTATTCAGTTTTGGCTCGCAAATTATTATGGCCATGCAACTGTGTAGATGGCCTTTGGAGTTTGTCCTAAAGTATGAATGGATCTTGTCAGCTATTAATTTTGTTTGTGTTTGCACCACAAGTAAGTATAGAATTTGTAGCCTTGGAATGGGCTACACAATAAATATTGTCTTTATGATATTGATACATTCTAAGGTAACTCAATATTCTGTTTCTTTTTTAGCTGTCTTCATGTTTCTAGCCATAACAATCTTTGGAGGCTCTTACACCCGCCGTGATTGGTTGATGTACCCCAACTTCAACTATCTTTGTTGGTCGTACGGTTTGGCCTGTCTCTCTTTCTTTTTTCACGGTTTTGCCTCTGCCTTTTTGTACAAAGAGGCGAAATTGAGTCACGAAAGACGACGCGAATCGAAAAATTTGATTATGCAAATGCAACCCAACCCACAGCACAGACTAGGATGGAACATACCTAATTATTAGTAGGGTTCTCTTTTTCTATTAATGTATAAAAGAAAAGGAGAGAAATATTCAAAATATTTTTGTATGTTGAATTGAGTAACTTGGGTTGAAAACAGTATAAGTAGGCCAATTGTCTTAAGGTAGGTTTATACAGATACCAAACATTTGCAAACTGTCAAAAAACTCTTGTAAAAATAAACCTCTGTTATGTGTCTGTATAAACCCACCCTTAGCTAGGGCATGTTCCGTTTTCAAACATAACCTGAAATTGCTTCATTTTCAGCTTCAATCTGGCACCTGTGTATTTTTCTTATATTATAAAACAAACCTAAACGAGTGGCCTTTTTAAAATCAAATTATTGTATTTTTGATATATATTGTGATTTTGACTGATAGATATTAGTTTGAGGGCCAGTTTTATAATGAAAAGTTAACCTAAGGTTACCTGGACATTATAATATCAGCCCTAAGAGATCTAAAATTGATTCCCTCCATTATAATATTATTATGTATAAGTTACGTAAGTTTTTTTTTGTTTTATACATATACGCACCAATAATTGAATAAAAATTATCTGTGAACTATTTTGGTTTTCTTAAGCCCGGTTTATTCACCTTCCGGTTAACTGTCAGGTAATGCAATCTGACAGATAAAAACTCAATCTGTGATCTTATTGGTCAACCATGAATAAACCAAGCCCTAATCTATCAAGTCACATCCTCAACTTCACTCTACCTTTATAATATCAAATTTAGAATGTAACACTTACCTGGAACTTTGTGCTTGTCAGCTAAACTTAAAGCCATTTTGGAAATATTTCCGTCCATTATTAAAAGTGGAGATGTCCTGATGATGTCCTCATGTTGTTCAATCTATGAAGAAACTTTTTCAGATTTAACAATGTTGCCATTAGTAAAATTAAATACAGTGTTGCCAATTGAATGTATACTGTGACATGGCAATTTGAAACGTTTAATTGGTTGGTCACAGTTTGACAGAAAAACATTAAACCAAAAGTCATTTGTAAACCAATTAGGCAATCCAGATCAAGGATGTTTGGATGTTACCAAATCACCATTTGTGACGTAGGCAGCATGTTATTTCTCGCTTTGACGTAAAATACGTGATTCAATATGGACGTTCAGGTCAAATATTGTGATGACGTTCATAAGAAAAGCATTTGTGTTTTGGCCCTTGTTATTGTGGATGTTAAACATGACAATGCCAATGTCAAACCTAAACGTCCAGAATATGACAAAATAAGTTATTTTTCATAGATTTTCATCAGTAATCTAAATGTAAACAGCACGGTGTTTGACCTGAACGGCCATATTGAATTTCGCTTGACAGGTAAATGAATTGCCTAATTGGTAATAAATATGACATTTATCTGTCAACTGTCTACTAGTTATTGACAGTTCTTACCATTTCCGGTGAAATTTCCTTGTGAATCCCCATGTCGCCCATCAAAAACGAACAGTCGCCATTTTTGTCCAGCACAACAATACACTGAGCGGTGCTGGCTTTCGGGATTTTCTTGACGAATTTTCTGGAAGCTTTCGGTATTTGACCGAGTAGAATTTGCCCCTGCTGGTCGCCGCCAATGGCCGAAATGAAGTCCGATCGACAGCCCAATTTCGCTAGGGCTTCGCAAATGTTTCTACCCACGCCTCCGGCACTGTAATTGAAACGGCCCAAGTGATTACGACCGTCGAGCTGGAACAAAAATTTGACAAATAACTTATGTCCTCTTATAACTTAATGCTAAAGTTGACAGTTACTAATTGACAGATGAAGATTGTCTTCCCACAAAGTTACTAAAATTAACAGGTTGTCTGGTAATGGGAAACAGATGACGTCATCTAAGATGCCTAATGGAGATTTGCAATATGTTTAGGCACTCCAGATGACGTCATCAAAGTTATCAGGTAATCTATCTCTTTCAAACAACCTTGGTCTTCTAATGTGAGCTACCACACGTTAAAGTATCCATTTTTGACAACCAGGTGGTTGTTAATTGACAGATGAAGATTTCTCGCTAATGAAAAATGTCTGCTGTCAAATCTGTCAAGTTGAAATTCTTTTGCTCAATGTCTAAGTAGGCGATTTGACGTTCTATCAAATTATTATTATTCAATATGGCGCCGTGGGCATAATAAACTTGACACGACCGTAAAGATCAATTACATTCAATTTCAATGCAAATTTCAAATAGCCATTTATTCCTCTGTCAAGTAATTCCAATTGCAGTTTAAATTGGAATTGGATGTGAACGTACCTTTATGGTCGCCAAATTTGTTATGCCCACGCTGCCATATTGAATGTTGATAAATTGACAGAACGTCAAATCGCCTACTTCGATATTGAACAGAAAAATTTCAACTTGACGAATTCGACAGCCATTGAATATTGAATATTGAATATTACAACATTGACAGAACGTCAAATCATTGAATGGGCTCCTTAAAAATTTGACAGCTATCATACACTACACGTCATTATTTTGACAGATTTTGATGTTCTAAAATCAAATTAATGACCTTGATAATTGGAATGATTTTAATGGAAAATAAATCGGAACTTTCAAACCAGGCTAATTTTGACAGACAAGTTTAAATTCTATTGCTCAATATCTAATGGACTCCTGACAAAATTGACAGCTATCACACGTTATTATTTTGACAGTTTTGGATGTTCCCTAAAGTCCAAAGTCAAGTGAACTTAATAACTAGAGCAAATTTCAGGAAAATTAAATTGTAGATCTTGAATTGGGTTTATTTTGACAGCCGTCAAAGGTAAATTTCATTGCCCACTGTTCAATGAGATTCTGAAAAAAATTGACAGCTATTACACACGTCATTATTTTGACAGTTCTAAAATCAAATTAATGACCTTGATAACTGGAATGATTTTAATGGAAACTTTCAAATCGGGCTAAATTTTGACAGCCAAGTTTAAATTCTATTGCTCAATATCTAATGGATTCCTGACAAAATTGACAGCTATTACACGTCATTATTTTGACAGTTTTGGATGTTCTATAAACTCGAAAGTCAAGAAAACTACAACAATTTTCAGGAATAATAAATCGTGGATCTTAAATTGGGCTAATTTTGACAGCCGTCAAAGGTAAAATTCATAGCCCAATGTCCAATGAAATTCTGAAAAAAATTTGACAGCTATCACACACGTCAATATTATGACAGTGATCTTGACAATTGAGTGTTTTTAATGAAGATTAAATCGAAGTTTTCAAATCGGGCAAATTTTGACAGCTGTCAAATGCTTTCAATTCAAATTTTGACAACCTTTGATTTTTATAGCTCGATCTTTAATGAGATCTTAAAAAAATTGACAGCTATCACACATCTTGATTTTGACAGTTTTGAGTGCTCCAAAGTCAAATTTTGACAACCACCAAAGATGAATTTTATAGCTCAATCTTTAATGAAGTCTTAGAAAAATTATTGACAGGTATCACACGTCTTGATTTTGACAGTTTTGAATGCTCTAACTAAAGTCAAACTTTGACAACCACCAAAGGTGAATTTTATAGATTGATATACAATGAGATCTTAGAAAAATTGACCGCTATCACATGTCTTGATTTTGACATTTTGGAGTGCTCTAAATTCAAATTATGACAACCACCAAAGATGAATTTTATAGCTCGAACTTTAATGAAATCTTAGAAAAATTATTGACAGGTATCACACGTCTTGATTTTGATAGTTTTGAATGTTCTAAAGTCAAATTTTGACAACGACCAAAGATGAATCTTATAGCTCGATATTTGATAAACTCTTAGGAAAATTGACAGCTGTCACACTTCTTGATTTTGACAGTTTTGAATGCTCTAGTTAAATTTAAATTTTTGACAATCACCAAAGGTGAATTTTAAAGCTTGATATTCAATGAGATCTTAGAAAAATTAACAGCTAACACACGTCTTGATTTTGACAGTTTCAAATGCTCTAATGTCAAATTTTGACAACCACCAATGGTACATTTTATATCTTGATGTCTAATAAGCTTTAGAAAAATTAACAGCTATCACACGTCTTGATTTGATTTTGACAGTTTTGAATGCTCTAAAGTCAAATTTTGCAAACCACCAAAAGTGATTTTTATAGTTCGATATTTAATGAGATTTTGGAAAAATTGACAGGTATTAAACGTCATTATTTTGACAGTTTTGGATGATTTAAAGTCGAGTGAACTTGATAATTTGAGTGATTTATAGAGAGAATAAATCCTATATCTCCAATTATGCAAATTTGAAAAGCTGTCAAAATAAAATTTCAATACTCGATGCCTAACGAACTTCTAGAAAAATTGGCAGATGTCACACGTCATTATTTTGGCAGTTTTGGATCATTTAACGTCGAGTGAACTAGATAATTTGAGTGATTTTTTGAGAAAATAAATCCTGGATCTCCAATCAGGCAAATTTCGAAAGCTGTCAAAATCAAATTTTATTACTCAATGCTTCACGAGCTCCTAGAAAAATTGACAGATATCACATGTCATTATTTTGACAGTTTTGGATGTTCTAAGTTCAAGTGAACTTGATAATTTGAGTGATTTTTAGAGAAAATAAATCGTAGATCTCCTATCAGGCAGATTTTGAAAGCTGTCAGAATTAAATTTCATCACTCGATGTCTAACGAACTCCTAGAAAAATTGACAGGTATTGCACGTCATTATTTTGACAGTTTTGGATTATTTAAAGTCGAGTGAACTTAATAATTTGAGTGATTTTTAGAGAAAATAACTCCTAGATCTTCAATCAGGCAAATTTTGAAAGCTGTCAAAACTAAATTTAGCGAACTCCTAGAAAAATTGGCAGATATTACACGTCATTATTTTGACAGTTTCGGATGCTTTAAAGTCGAGTGAACTTGATGTTTTGAGTGATTTTTACGGAAAATAAATCGTAGATCTCCAATCAGGCAAATTTCGAGAGCTGTCAAAATTAAATTTTATTACTCGATGCCTAATGAACTCCTAGAAAAATTCAGATATTACACGTCATTATTTTGACAGTTTTGGATGATTTAAAGTTGAGTGAACTTGATAATTTGAGTGATTTTTAGAGAAAATAAATCCTAGATGTCCAATGAGACAAATTTCGAAAGCTGTCAAAATTAAATTTTGATACTCGATGCCTAACGAATTCCTGAAAAAATTGACAGATTTCACAAGTCATTATTTTGACAATTTTGGACGCTTTACAGTCAAGTGAACTTCATAATTATCGACTGAATTTCAGACAAATTTTGACAGCAATTAGAAATAAATTCCATTGGCAATGTTTATTGAGCTCCTGAAAAAATTGACAGATATGTCACACGTGAATATTTTCACAGATATTTCTGATACATTGTTGCCGTTATGTATGCAAACGGCCTAATATTTCAGAACTCGCTTAAGAAAAATGCAAGGTTTCTAGAGTTAATAGGTAGTCTGGCAAGGGGTAACTTGATGACGTCACCTGAGGTGCTTTATGATTAAGGTACCCAAGATGACGTCATAAAAGTTATCAGGCAACCTACTTCTCTCAAATAATCTTGAGAAAAATGTATAATATTTCTTACCGAGGCTTTTGGGAATACTCGATTCAATGGTAGTATTTGCAATGTTGCCAAGTTGCCGTATGTAACTAAATTTTTTTAAACGAAAGTCCTTCTTTATTTTTATTGTTATTAATTCAGCGTTCCAATATTACAAACCCCTAAATGCCAAACCTCCATTTGCCTTAGTTTTTGAAATATGCCAACACAGCTTTTTCGTTGAGAACCAATTGACAAAAAACAGAAAATGCTACGATTTAGTGTCATTTTCGGCCATTGACATTTGACATTTACCTATAGATTTTCCCCACATGAAAAATGCGACAAATCTTCTTCATCCCTATTTTTTTATGACGTCTGATCGCACCATAAAAAGTTTTATAGGGTTTTCTATATTGAAAGTCTTCGTTTATTGGCATTTCAGCGTTTATATTTTTACAGTGTGAAGCCGGCTTAATAAATTAGACAAGTGATGTTTAATACATTTTTTATTTGTCATTTCAGTTTTAAGCTTGATTTACACTCGTACACAACTGTCAAAATTGTCAAATGTTAAAAACATTGAACGACAGTTATAATCAACACTCTTTTATGGCTGAGTTCGTTTATTGCATCTGCGAGCAAATTTTGACGAATGTCACGTGATCACTTATCTTTTTTCCACGTGTCAAATCACGTGACACCTGTCAAAATTTGCTCTTTTTGCTCGCAGTTGTAATAAACGAACTCAGCCTATATGAGAAATTCCTATCAAAATTCACACAATGACAGATAATCGAGTACACAACAATAAGGGGCCGTCCCACCCTTCAAAAAGCGGGAGGCGTCGCGACGCCGTCGTCGACTCCACGAATCAGTCCGGCGTCGAACGTCGAGAATCGCACACGTCGTCGTCTCTAAAAACCGTCGAAAAATCGCCGAATAATCGTGAATGAAAAGTGAAGATGTGATAAATAATGCGACGTTTCGTGATTTATATTTTTAAGTCATCATCTTCAGATCAACTTCTTTGTGATTATTTTAGTTGGTGAATGAATAGTGAGTTTTGATTTGAGGAGGAAGTTTTTCTTTTTTGGAACAGGTAATACTAAATTTACATAAAAATTTTATTCTAATGACATATGTCAAATTTGTTCCGTTGAAAT